TTGATTCTATTGAGACTGAAGTGGTCATCGAAGCCCTAGCCTAACAGGGCATTCAAACTCAGTACATCAGGTTTCTCTATGAGCTGTATTACAGATTCACCACCAGGATCTCAACATTCTAACAAGGAAGTGATTATCAAAGAAAAGAGAGGAACTCAGCAGGGCAATACAATTTCATCGAAACTCTTCAGTGTCACTCTCGAGAACGTTATGCAACTAGAATGGGAAGGAATGGGAGTGAAGATAGACGGTCAGCAACTACACCACCTCCACTTCGCTGATGATGTCGTTCTAATAATACCAGATATCAGCCAAGCAGCATGAATGCTGGCTGACTTTGACTGTGAGTGTGGAAAGGTTGGACTGCGGCTGAATCTCATGAAGACAATGTTTATGAAAAATGGACTAGTTCCTGACGTTCTATTTGCCCTCAATGGAACTAACATCTCTGTATGCAGCAGTTATATGTACCTGGGTCGAGAACTCAACATGACAAACGACTTGGCACCTGAACTACGCAGGAGGAAGAGAGCAGCGTGGAACACCTTCAATAGCATTGAAGAAGTGGTTAAGAGGATGAAGAACCTCTGGCTCTGGGCACGTCTTTTCGACTCCACTGTTCTTCCTGCACTAACATACACCTCAGAGACCTGGACCCTATGATAACAGGATGAGAACGCTATTCCTCCCAAAGAGGAATCAAAAGAGCTATGCTTGGAATATTACATTTCACTCAAGTCAGAAGGAATCTGGAGATCCAACCTCTGTCAATGATCAAGAATTAGGGACGCGTTGCCAAGGTGTCAAAAATCAGATGGGCCGGACATGTAATGTGATTTAGAGATGAACGCTGCACTGGAGCTGTTACCAACTGAATTCCACAGGATGTCAAAAGAACACGTGGGTGCCCACCTACGAGGTGGTCAGACTTCTTTGTCAAAACCCTGAACAAACGGTTTGTGGCTCTTCGTATTCCTGGAGTGAGCAGTTGCCATTGGGCGACACTAGCACACGACAGGGACGAATAGAGACATTACTGGTACTCGCTCGAGCAAATCAATGATCAACAGGATGACAAGTGATACAAGTGAATTATAGTAAAAGCAAGGCCATTACCTAAGAGGGGTATCACTATCACTGTCATCCCGTTGATTGTCGAATTACTCGAGCTGGTGCCAGTAATGTCTCTATTCCTCCTAGCCCTGAGATTTTAGCAGACTCTTCTTACTCATTTTTTCCCAATGATTGGAGGCTCTTTCAGGGTTAGGGGAATGAGACCTGTATTTGGCATATGGAATACACCCTGGGGAGCTTGTCAGGCTCTGCCCGTGCAGGCGGGATACTCTCCGTAGCTTGCTGGGCTCTCCAAGAGGCATATATTTATATATTTTTCTCTATGATTTGTTGCCTACTGTCTGAACCCCATCAGATATGGTGTATTAATTGTGGAAAATGGGTAGGAAGTGTCTTATAATGTGTCCGCGGTTGCACTGTCTGGAAAGCAGCCTGGGGTGGTGTTTGAGTAGTGAAGGTCCGCTACTGGGGCTGGGTCCCTTGGTGTGGGGAGGGTTCTCACCCACCCCACAGCCTGGCACAGAATCTGGTGACATGGTTCTGGGAGCCTCATTTTATACTCCTGTCTGGGAGGAGCATCCATGAGTTCTGGAGGGTGGCCGATGAGGACATAATCTGGTGCAATCAGGGTTTGGCTTATGGGTGTGATCCCTGAGTCACCAGAGACTGGGGAAATCAGGCAGAGGATCTCTGTTCCTGGGTCCTGTTAAGTCCAGAGTCCAAGGTCAGAAAGTTCCGCATTATCTGGGTTCTGTGGGACTTCATTCATGCGTGAGGCTCAGCCTAAGCATCCGGAAAGCAGCATGGAGCGTGGTGGTGGTTGGGTAGTGGAGGTCTTATAGGAGGAAGTAGTGGAGGGGTATAGATTTTGGAATTCAGATATCTCAAGGATGAAGACATAGGTCATCCCCCCAGGTAAGCCACCTACATAAGCAGAGGTGCTGAAGCTGTGGGGGGGGGGGGTGGGCATGGGGAATTGATAAAATTAGTGGAGGGAGCTGACTAAAGAGTACTGTTCATGGCCTTGAAACTTTTATTCTGGTAGTGGCTACAGTTTAAAATTCCTCAGGAATAGACTAAGATTAACTTTGATTAGCGTCTTCCAAACTTTCTGCCCAGCAAGTAGGTTTAAATGTTGAGGAGGGTGGTCTGTAAAAGTAGTGGGATGTTGCATGCTTCTCCCTGAACTTCGGCTGCTATGAGTGCTGACAACTTACAGTTTATTATTCTTTGCTGACGAGAGCCACTTTTCCCTAAGTCATATCCCTTTCCAAGGAACAGGCCATATCTAGTGGTAATCAATGAAGAGTTTTAAGGGGCCAACGTCCTTGTCCCAATTTGGAATATCTCCACAGGGTCATATTCCCATGGAACCAACAGAGGTCTTTGTTGAGACTGCATTATGGTCCAACATCTCTCTACTCATTGATGGCTTCTTTTCCTTTTCCACCCATTTGGTCTAGAGAACCCACTGGAATAAACTTCCTGCATCAATAAATCTCAGACTCAGTCTGCTTCCCATGGAAACTAACCTACAACAAATAGTTGGACTAAGCCCTTCCTTGATCTTATTTTATTGTTATCTTAATATGACTAGGATGTCTTTAAGGAAAAAGAAATTTCTTTACTGTACTCAGTTTGTTTGGAGGCTTTTCCTTTCTTGATCTAAATACAACCTTAATACTGACATATTTTAATCTTTGGCCCTATAATTAGTTTATCATATGGCACATGTCAATAGAAAAGGCTTGTCAATATGGAGTTCTTTGTTATGTTTCCTACTTCATTACTGAAGCCATTTGTAATACCCAGGTGAAATTTATTTAGTTCTGAACCTTTACAACTGAGTTGTCTCATCAGTAAACAAAAATGTTTAAATTGTCTTTGAAATTTTTTGTGTTCTGTTTTTGTAAGACAAGGAGACTGCCTTTGTAAATGCCTGACTGAGGCAGACAATTTTGATCAACTTCTCTTAGAATTCAGTAGTATGTCTGAACTTTTGTAGTCAGTATCCACCCAATACCCCATCTCTGTGCCTCAGTCTCTGGGCCAACTGACAAGCAAGACTGCTTTGCAAACTATTTCTAAGCAGTAGGGGTGGGATTCAGAACTATTTTAGACCCCCTCTTGCCTTGTGCAGGATGGATTTTTGTCTCCAAAGCAACTTCTTTAGAGTTACAGACTTCGAGATTGGTCCAACAGTGAATGGGTCACCTCACTGCTGGGTTTCACTTCTATTCCTTCACTAAGCCAGAATTCAAGGTTGAACCCAGTCCAGTTGGCTGATGCTCTGACCCCTTCTTGTTTCTGCCAATTTTCCATGTTTCTGGTATATCTACCTTGATCAATCTATAGATTCCTGAGCCAAGTCTTTAGTTAACAGGATGCCAGAAACTCTTGTATTCTCTAATGCCACATTCCTCCACTAGCCTTTGGATCAGACCCTTTTTGTTGTTGATGGTGCAAATTGCTCTTGTATCCCCTAGGCTGAACCTGAGTCTATAATAAAACTTTGAACATGAACTGTTTACATTTGGTTCTAGGTGGACACCTGCCCTATCTGAGTGATTTCAGTAAAATCATGTCTCACAGTGATTGCTCACATACCCCCATCACTTCAGTTAGTGCTTCTTTGTTAACAAATTAGTTCCTGTTAATGAGAATTAGGTCCAAAGTTATTCTGCTGATTAGATTTACTAATTTCTGAAAGCTGAATTTTCTGGCAAAGTGAAAAAAGTTACCAGAATTTCAGCAAGGTATTAATGGACATTGTGTGTAATGACTTACTTTTAGCAATGACCAAAATATCTTGCCAGTTTAATAGTTTTGTTACATATTTTTAAAAATTATGGTTAGGTCCTCCATCTCAGTAGATAAACATCTACCCATAATTATATTAATTTTTTATGACTTGTATATATTCAAGGCTTATTTTATGGCAGAAAAAAATAACATTAATACATGGCAAGTCACAGTGAAGTTGTTTCCTAGGATTGTAAAAGAATTACTTATATGCCAGACACTCTGGCACCAACTATATGCCTGAAAAAAGACAAATCAAGTATCAAGAACCAATACGTTTTAAGAATTAGAAGATAGATATTGGCTTTTAATAAAGCAGTAATAAAATAACCAAGGTTTTATTTTAAGTAGTCTATTTTCTAAAATACTAGTTGATCTTTCCAAGGACATATAAGTAACTTAGGATGCATTATCTTTTTGTAATTTCCTAAACTGAGCTCTTATACTTATAAATATTTACTCATAATCATTACTTAGCTAATCTATTAAGCAAATAACGTTTTCCTTGGGCCAGTATTAAATTTTATTTTTATTTTGTAGCCTAAGAATACATTCAGGTCTTGGATAATCCATTTGCAACTGAGACATCAGAGAATAGCTGAACTCACACTATCACCCACAGGCCAGCTCATATTTTAGAAGGCATCTTTCTTGTGCCCAGTTACTTGTCCAGCTGTTTTCTTTCAAACCTATATTAAGTGAAAAGCAAGAGCAAGGCAATCTGCAGATTGATTCTACCTCATCTTGCTAGAACAGCGACTTGAATTTAAGGAATAATATCTGAAGCAAAATTTTAAAGAAGTCACAAGAGAACCAGGTTTTGGTTATCAGAAGCCATTTAACCATTTAAAGAACATGCACCAAAGCAGGGAGGCAGTGGGGAGACTGGCACCCCAGGGCCTTTAATTCAAATCTAAGATTTGCTCTTGAGAAATAAAAGTCAGAATCCACGTGGAAAGGATCTTTCACATTCTCTAACTGCACCTAGAGGTTTGTAAACATGAAACGAATCGGAAGGGAGGAAGGTAGGGTGGACACTGTCCTTTTAATGCAAGGTCTTACAGCACAGAGGCAAGGGACCCCCCAAACGCCCCTGCTCGCTGCACGCCGTGGGCGCAAGGCCTTCAGTACAGGTTGGTCTTCTTCATGATCCGCAGGAACTCGTCCTCATTCACCTCGCCGTCGCCGTCGCGGTCCGCCTCGTCGATCATCTCCTGCAGCTCCTCGTCCGTGAGGTTCTCGCCCAGCTCGTTGGCCACGCGTTTTAGGTTTCGGAACGAGATCTTGCCCGTTTCGTCATCATCGAAGAGCCTGAAAGCTTTCAGGATTTCTTCCTTAGTGTCTTTCTCGGCCATCTTCTGCGTCATCACCGCCAAGAAGTCGTTGAAGCTGATCTTGCCGGTGCCTTCCTTGTCCACCTCGGAGATCATCTTCTTCATCTCTTCCTTCCTGGGCTCAAAGCCCAGCGCCCGCATGGCCACCTTCAGCTCCTTCACATCGATGGTTCCGCTTCCATCGGCGTCAAAGAGGTCAAACGCTTCTCGAACCTCCTGCTTCTGCTCCTCAGTGAGCTCAGGCTTAGGGCCCATCTTTTTTTTATGGCTCGCAGAGCCTGCACTTGGCTTCTTAAAGCTGGAGGCCATCCTGCTGCAGCAGTTGTTTACCCTAACGGTGCGATGGGGGGGTGTGGGGGGGGGCGGCGGGAAGCTGAGTGGCTGCTGCGCCTGCGCGGGCCTGGTACCATCCCCGGGTGCCTCGAGTCGCCCCTTCAACAGCCAAGCCCTGTCCTGGTGCTCCAGGACTGCGGTCTGCAAGGGTTGATGTAGTCCACAATTCCGCCGCGTCCCCTCGGATTTTACCCTGTTTCTGCAAACTAAAGCCCGGCAAGAAGTGTCTGTAGTCACAGTGATCTGCCCTGCATAGGTGCTCGCCGCCCTTCTGTTCAGCATCTGGAGGACCAGTTTTCTAGGGTTATTTGGAGGTCCTGCCCCTTGCTCTCCATTCTCATCAAGAAACCCGCTTGGTCTGAATGACCCCAGATTGAGTTTGATCGCTTGGTATGAAACAGGCAGCAGAAAAAGGAGAGAGAATATTAAAAGTTGCACTATGTGTTTGATTTGACACAAATGAAAAACAGATAAAATGGAAAAGTTATGTAGAAAATTTGTAGAAGTTTGTCTCCTGACATTACACTCAACAATAATAAAATTTCACTAGCGTAGTTGGCCTACACTCAAATATGAAATGTAATATCTAAATGGATGATTTACTTTCAGTGTTTCTATTTTAAATTCTCAGTGTAATTGCCCTTGAGTAACGGTCATAATTTCATTCACTGGGTTTTTGACTCAGAAAGCAGGGGGTTGAAATACTGCATTCTGGTATTTTGGTATTATTTTTAAAGCGCTAGCAGCATATCCCCCTCACTGTTTATGATAGCATCAGAGCTGGACTGAAATTCTGCCTTTCTTTGGCAGTGGGCACAGGGAAGAGATGTGGTAGGGTTTGGTGAGACTCAAAATTGCCTCTGGACAACAAAGGGACAGGAGAAAACTGGAAGCTTTGGGACTGGAGAGATAATACAGTGGGTAGGGCATTTGCCTTGCATGAGGCACCCAGTATGGTCCCTGAAGTCAACCATGAGTGATCCCTGAGTGCAGAGCCAGTAATGAGCTCTGAGCACAAGCAGGTGTGGACCCATAAAACAGAAACAAAACAAAACAAAAGAAAAAAAGAATAAAAAAGGAAACTTTGTGGGTAAAATAAAATAAAGTCACAAAGGAAGTATCCTTAGAACTGTTTTGTAGTCACCCCCCCCCCCACCCGCCTTTCTTTCCGTTTCTTTTTTTTTTATTTATTTTTTTGCTTTTTGGGTCATGCCCAGTGATGCAGGGGTTACTCCTGACTCATGCACTTAGGAATTATGGCGGTGCTTGGGGGACCATATGGGATACTGAGAATCAAACCCGGGACAGCCACATGCAAGGTGAATGCCCTGCCCACTGCGCTATCACTCTAGCCCTTCTTTCAGTTTCTTAATATGGGCCACTCCCACAACATTCCTGAGCTGTGGCAGTGAGGGTTCACTGCTCCATCTGACCAGGAAGGTGTTGTACCAGGTGGTGTTCAGGGAGCACCCATGCCACTCCAGTGGTGCTCCAGGAGGTAAGTGGATTGAATGCAGGGCCTTGTGTTGGTGAGTCATGTGATTTATTATCAGAATACGCTTTCACTATTCTTTAAAAAAACCTCAATCACTACTCAATCAACTATAAGAGTGGGTCCTCTCCAGAGTTTCTAATTGAAAAATATCTGAATCTCATGCTTGACACAGTAGGAGTTTGATAAATATTTGTTGAATGAGTGAATGACAATGTTGGTTCTAAAACACTTCTGAATCATCATAATAAAAGAAATTAAGAAGATTAAATCATGTTCAGAGTTTCAAAAGTTCTGATTTTATTATTAATGATCCGATATTATTTACATGATACGTATTTTTATTTATTTGGAGGCTACAACTAGCTATGCTCATGCTCTGTGCTCAGAAATCATTCCTTGTGGCACTCAGGAGATCATATGTGGTTTTTGTTCAAGGGCCTTTACCCACTTACTATATTTCTGTCTCTATACGACATGTTTAATTCACCATATCTCATTCCCTGCCCCTATCTATACCTGTACCCAGGATATGGGTTTTCTAAAAGTCATCAGTGGTGGGAAATGTACATTGGCGAAGGAATGAGTGTTGAAATGTTATATGAGACTAAAACCCAATCATGAACAACTTTGTTACTATGTATCTTATTGTGATTCAATTAAAAAAAAGGTCAAGAAAACTTCCTGGGACTTCCGTCTACCACTTCCCAGCACTTGTCAAAAATAGTGTCAACTCTCAGACTCAGTTGAAGGATCTATGAAGTAGGCATAATAATATGGCATACTCCAGGGTTCCTGTGCATGTTCAATGAGCCACTCAGGGAACAGTCTCCTCGGGCACTGGGAGAGGCCATGTGACTGTCATTCAGTGAGAAATGCTTCCAGGCATTGTGAGTTTCTTTTGACTTCCACTCTTCTGCCCAAATTCAAGCCAAGTTATGATGTGTGGGGGGAAATTGAAAGATAGAAGTTGCCTTATATAGAGCTATATTGGGGCCAAACTAAGCTCAAAGCAAAAACGGTTGTCATGGCCTCCAGATGTGTGCAATCAACAGACACATCTAAGGGCTACCAAAAGTTCCCTCTGTTGGAAAGAGTGCCTTCCATCAGAATCAGCTCTTGGTAGAAAGTTACTTTATATTCATATGTGTCATCTAATTTAAAGGTGAAGGATATTTACATTGTTTTTGTGTCTAGCATTGGGTTTACTCATTGCTTTTCCTGCTTTATTTACTTATTTATTTGGATTTTTTTAAAAAATATTTTTTATTGAATCACAGTGAAATACAGTTACGAGGTTGTTCATGCTTGGGTTTCTGTTATTTGATGTTCTACTACCCATTCCTTCACCAGTGTACATTTCCTACCACCATATTTATTTGGCTTTGGGGCCATATCTGGTGGTACTCAGATAATGTTCTGTGCTTTTAGAGCACTCCTGGCATTGTTTATGGAACTATATGTGGGGCTGAGGATTGAACTGTGGTTGGCCACATGCAAAGCAAGATACTTAACCCCTGCATTATCTCTCTGACTTCTTATTGCTTCATTTAATCCTTGCCATTATGTCCCCACCTTATAGATAAAAAAGAAAATGAGGTCCAAGAGAGGTCTCTATCTTATCAAATGGTATACAGAGCAAATAGAAGGTGATGCTGGAGTTTTATTGACCACACCATGCTGCCTTCTTCAAAAGTTGAGACAATGGTCCAGGTCCAGATATGGTTCAGTGGTAGCATATATGTCTCACATGGGTGAGGAACATGCATAAAAATAACAACTGTGATTATTAACAAAATATAGATGACTGGGAAGATATGGTAATTGTTTTCTTCCCTAAATCTAATGACAACTAAACATCTTAGCAAGAAAGATTTAACAGTATGTTGTAGGATTTTAGAGATGGTTGCATTCTGGAGTGAGTCAATGAGAAAGTGTAAAGAACTTGGTATTTATATCTGTCCTTCAAATCTACATTACTCAGTTTTCAAGGTTTGATTCCAGATACATTTTTCTCCTGCTATCCAAAAGTAGAACATTCCATTTATTGTGATTGGGTAGGTCATTATTTGTGTTTAGAAATACTTAACATTTTTTTCTATATAAATAATGGTAAGGAAGAGTAAGCGCCAAAGAAGCTGGTAAGGAAGAGTAAGGAATGGTAAGGAAGAGTAAGCGCCAAAGCGCTCAGAGATCTGACACAGGAGCAATGACTGCATGTCTGTGTTCATCCATGGTTTCAGATTCTTCAATATATTCAAGAATTCAAATATTGAGTAAAAAATATGCTTAGACTCAGAGCTAGAAAACAGAAGAATGTATTGCAAAGTAGTAGAGAAAGAAACTCCCCTACACGAAAAGGAACTTAGTACAAGATTAAGTTATGGTTCGTTTTGTGGGGTTTTTATAGAAAAATGGGGTCTTTGTGTTACTTGTGGTAGGAATGTTACAGAGAAAGTGAGGATTTTACAGAGCGGTCTTGTTATTTGTTTGGTCATTTGCCTAGTTATTGCCCTTTATCAGTTTCCTGTGAGCCTAATTTCTGGGACAAAAAATCCTAAGGTTTTCTAAGATCAGAGGAAATTATTGACTTCCTGTTAACTTCTCTTTCTGAGTTCAGGAGTTTGCAGGAACATTAAATGGGTAGAATAGAAATAGTTGAAATGGAGCTGCTCGTGCAATGACAAGGGAAAACAAGCACAAGAACTGAAGTACATATCTGGCATGTGGAGGTTCATGTTTGATTCCCAGGACTACATGGTCCCCAAACACCTCTGAGTGTGGCCCTCGTGACTTCTAGCACCACTGGGCCCAAATTTGAGCCCTGAGGTCCACATAGATTGGCTGAGTATTCCTGGCGGGGTGGGGGGGACCCTGGTCCCCCTGAACACTGCTCAGGAGGCCTTCCCTCAACTACTATTAACAGTATTCCCACACCCCAAAAAATGACCTACCAAATAAGACTAATGGACAATGGGGAAAAAACTAAAGAATTAATGGGAGACAGTTTGGGCAAAGGAATTCTGGCTGGTATTAGTGCGGTTCTTTATAACAATTGTGGAGACCAGCTTTATTATTTTAAATCACATTTTGAGTTCTAATAAGACTGAGATAAAGTAAATGATATATCCTGGAAGATCAAAAGATATTAGCATTTTGTTTGCTTGGTAGTTATTTGCTCTTAAGAGTTTTTTGTACTATAATGTCTGAGTAATATGTAAAATCAGTTATTAAACCTGATTATGGAAATTTAACAGCTGGAATGAGGAAAAGAGAAGTACTAAAATTTCACAACAGGGTCTGAGGCAGTTGAGATGGAGAGAAAGGAACCATGTGGCTTGCTTATCCTAATTATTTGGCTTTTCCGTTTGACTTACAAGGCACGCAAAAGGTGAGGCTCAGGAGTCTTTTAAAATTTAAATTGCACTCAGCAAATTCCAGGTATCACCTAAGGCAGCAAACATGCATAGTAAATTTTCTTTAT